AACCATTGATAAGAAATTCCAAAAGATTCCAAGGGACTGCAATCATGAGCTGAAACTTTTATCACAATTTTTCTTTATTAAAAAAAGGAAAAAGCAGGGTTGCCAATGGAGCTCGGTGGGTCCGGAGCTTAGCGAGCATGCGTAAGGCCTTGGCTTCCATTCCTACCAGTGCCAAGTCTGGACATGATGGCACACACCTGTGGTCCCAGGGCTCAGGCGGTGGAAGCAGGAGGATCAGAAACTGGAGTCCTATTTGCCACACAGAGAATTTGAGGCCAGCCTGGGCTACATGAAGAAAGCAAAGAAAAAGAAAAAAGAAAAGAAAAGAAAACCCCACAAACAAAACAAAACAAAAACCCCACAAAACAATAAGCAAGTAAATAAATAATTATTTTTAAAAGGCAAAAATAGCAGTCTTTGTTTATTTAAAAAAGCAGCTTTTTAATGCTGAATCCAAATCTGCTTTCCTAGAACGTCCACCCATCAGCTCTTGGAGCATTATAGTCACATCCACAGAACAAGCCTACAGCTTCAAGCCAGCACTCAGAAAGTAGGTGCAGGTGGATCTCTGTGAGTTTGAAGCCAACCTGCTCTATAGAGAGAATTCCAGGCTACGTATGAAGATCCTGTCTCAAGCTAAACCAAACCAATATACCAAACCTACATTCCTCTCCCATGATCCCGTAATACTTTGCCCACATTAGACACCCATTTCCAGGCACACTCTTGTCCTCTTGCTGTCCCCAGCACTCTTCTCTAAGCATTTGTGGTCATCTCTGTTGAAGTCTGGTGCCTGGAACTGAACAGCGGGTACCAGGTGTGATCTGAGGAGGACAGAGGAGGACACAAGCTGCTCTTCTCTCATTTTGAGGGCCATACTCTCCATGACACCCCACACATCCTTCACTTCTACACTTCGGACTTCGGGAAAGGGACTTTACCTCTAGTAAAGTTAGTTAGTTGGTAAAACTGACCTAGTGACCAAAACAGAATCTTTTTGCATATGATCGCTTGAGCAGTTAAGAGTCCCCACCACAGCTACCTTTACCCACTCAGAAATTTTCTGTCTTATCCCAAGAATGCTTTGTCTAATTTCAGGCAAACATGGCCATGACCTTCTCTTCATGAGCTTTTCCGGTCTCCCCAACGAAAGGGCTGAGCCGAGTGGGGAAATGATCTATGTTTCTGGACTCTGTACAGGGCTGAGCAATCTTTTTTTGTTTTGTGAGTGAGACCCGAGGAGCCTTGCATTCATTTGCCTTCCATGGGTTCCACATTTGTTGATCTGTAACTGTGGGATTCACCTTTCCTCATAACAGGTCACCCCGAGGCTGAAGAACACATCCATTGCATTTTCTGTGGGGTTTTCAAAAGCACTGCCAGGTGCTCTGTGGGCTGTTGCCGAGCAAACTGTGATGTGACGTGGAGCACTTCGGAGCAGCCAGAGACTCCCGGGGGCTAGACTGCTTTCCTTTCAGCCTGGTTCCTGATACTATGTGCCCGGATGAGTGTCTTCAGCCCTGATAGTTATATAAGATAGCGCAGTGACAGCTCCTCCAGTAATGGCTACCATTCTTGCATGGACATTTTAAACCTCTGTGTATTCATACACACTGCAAATATAGATCCAGCGCCCTATACTTAAATACTAATAATCTGTGAGATGTGGGCTCAGGGCTGCTGCTCAGCAATGAGGCCCAGACTATGAAAAAAAACATGGGTCTAGGATGGCTGTCAGTCATCTTAAATTCCTGTCTATCTTAGATATCACCTTATCTCTTCAAGCCTTTGAAAGGTGTGGGGAACAACTGAAGCTTCTCACTGCGGGGGGGGGGTCCTTGACTTTGTTATGGTATCTTGAGGGTGTGAGAAGAAATGCTGTCTAAATCACCCTAATTTTGAGCCTCTCTACTGTGAGAGGACTCAAGGGAATACCAGAAATGGAACATCTAAAGGTTAAACCTGAAAATATAGACAAAATGGCCCCAAAAGGTGGCATTAGCCAGGCTCTCAGAGGGTGAAAGATACCGCACAGTCCTTCTATTTGACAGCTGCCATTGAGGGTTTTTAGGGTACCCAGAGCCCCTCCTCACCACACCTCCACCACTCGTTGGTTTTCTCTTAGTCTTGTTTCTACTCTGTCATCCTCAGAAGGAGTGCAGCACACAGGCCATAAAAGAACACAGCTCGGTCTTTATTCAGGAGTCACATTTTAAAGATGCTCATAACACACTTGTTACATAGTAGGTATTTGGCAAACCATTGGATGTTCTTCATCAGTTTCCTTCTTTCTATATTTAAAAAAAAGCAACCTAGGTTCGGGCATGGTGGTGCACACTGCCTTTAATCCCGGCACTCGGCAGCAGAGGCAGGCAGATCTCTGTAAATTCAAGACCAGCCTGGTCTACAGAGTGAGTTCCAGGACAGCCAGGGCTACATAGAGAGACCTTGTCTCAAACAAAACAAGACAAGACAAAACAAAACAAACATAAAAAACAACCTGGGGGGCTGGAGAGATGACTCAGTGGCGAAGGGCATGTGTTATGATTGCAGAGGACTTGAGTTCAGTTCCTAGCACACTTGACCTATGATTGGTAGCTGCCTGTAACTACTGCTCCAGGGGATCTGATGTGCACACACATATACATAAAACTAAAATCCGGGGTTGGAGACATGACTCAATAGTTAAGAGCACTTGTTACTCTTGCAGAGGACCTGGGTTCAGTTCTCAGCACCCACGTGGTGGCTCACAATCATTCATAACTCCAGTTCCAGGCAGGGGATCTAATCCCTTCTTCTGACCTCCATGGGCATCAGACACACACATGTTGCACATCCATATATACAGGCAAAACATTCATACATATAAAATAAAATAAATAAATCTAAAAAAAATAAAAAATAAAATCTTTAAAAAGAGAACATTTTGCTGGATGTGGTGGTGCACACCTTTAATTCCAGCTCTCCAGAAACAGAGACAGGTGGGTGTCTGTGAGTTCCAGGCCAGCCTGGGCTACACAGCAAGTTTCAGGCCAGCCAGGGCTACATAGTAAGACCCTGTCTCAAAAAAAAAAGAAAGAAAGAAAGAAAGAAAGAAAGAAAGAAAGAAAGAAAAAGATAAGAAATCGAAATCAAAGCAAACAAAGCAACCCATCAGCAGAGCCTTTGGCCTAAAGATGTCGCTTTTCTACAGAGCTTTCCTGCTTCCCCACCAACTTGAAGGGTGCTCAGCAAAGCTAGAGCTGCCGCTGCTTTTGGGGTGCCCAACCACTGCAGGGCTAGAGTCCATGGCAGTGGCAACAGGCTCATAAACTATTGGGTCAAATTCTAGCTCTCTTTCTCATTTATTTTTGTTTTTCTTTCTTAACGGGGTCTTGGGGATGGAAGAATGGTTAAGTGGTTAGCACCTCCTCCTCTAGAGAACCCGAGTTAGGTTTCTAGCACCCATGTCTGGCAGCTTGTAACCACCTGTAACTCCAGCTCCCAGAGATTGGATACCCCCCTCTTCTGGCCTCCAGGGCACCTGCATATGCAATGCAAATACACACACACACACACACACACACACACACACACACGGAAAAAAAAAGACAGAGCCTCAGGTATTCCAGGCATACCTCAAGTTCACTATGTAGCTGAGGATAACCTCAAACTCCTGATCTTCCCTTTCCTATTCCTCCTCCCAGGCGTAAGCGGGCTGGACTATGCGCCTCTGGGGTGACTTATTTTTTAAGAGTCACTCAATGATTACTTCCCAGGTCCTCCCTGATGTTTTTGTTACTATATGCTAGTATCTTTGCTTAAAACAGAATAAAGGAAAGAAGGAAGAGAGGGCCCAAAGCTATTTCCCAATCATGAAATCACTCAAAATGCACTCCTCTCCCAGCCCTTCTGTTAACTGTTCCTGTGCATTGGACCAACCATTGCCCCCGCTCCAGTGCCAGGCACCACATTAGCGTATTAGTCCTGGCTTTGGGTCTTTGTGTGCACTACCCGCCCTTGCTCCCTCTGCATGCCATGGGATGGCTCATCTCCCTATTTTCTCAGGGTCACTTTGAACAAATTCTATTCCTGGCTTCTGAGGTATCAGCAGCCTTGCCCAACTGTCACACTTGATGAACAGATTTCAAGTTCAGCCCTTCAAGTCACAGAGGACAATAGGAAACCCCATGATGCTAACTAACCCTATGGGACCTCTTCCTGAATCCACCCCCCAGAGTTGTCAGGGAGTCACTAGTGACAGTCCCCGAGAAAAATTGATCTCCGATGACTTCTGCTATTCCAATTCACAGAAAAGGAAACCTGCATCCTTTGAGGGAAGGAGATTGGCCCTTCTGTAAGTCAATGGAGGCAGAGGCCACAGGCTGATGCCACGTGTACTGCATTTCCAAAGGAGAAAGAATTTCAGCAGGTCAGAGGTCAAGCCTCCCCCTAGCCACCAGTCCGAGTTGGGGGCAGGGTGATGACCATGGTAGTGGTGGCATCGGAGGAGGTGGTGGCAGCAGTGGTGGTGGCCTGGTGGCAGAGGAGGAAGTAAGTAGTATTTTTGCTGTTTCATTAGGAGGCCCGAGGCGATGACAGGTTTCAGCTGCGGGAACTCAGAGCGCTGCGGGTAGGAGGGTGGTAGAGCAGCGTGATTAGCATCAGAGAGGCTTTAGGCAGGGGGCCCAGGGCGAGTAGAGCACAGCCTGGACTTGCAGGAGCTACCAGGCAGGAGGCCTCAGGCTACTGGAGAATTGCGCTTCCAGCCTGAGCAGGCGCCTGGCTCCAGGGGTTGCTCGGGCAGGCCTGTGCACAGGAGGCAGGTTGGGAGTGCTAACTGGATTTTTTATTTTTATATCAAGACACTGTGTTTAAAATTTTTTACAAAGGACAAACTCCATGGGTTTCCGTTAGTGTTTTAAGAACTTTTCTTAAAAAAAAAAAAAAAGAAGAAAAAGAAAGAAAAAAAAAAGCCAACAACAAACCAAAAAAAAAAAAAAAAACCAAAAGCCAAAAAAAAAAAACCAAAAAAAAAAAAAAAACAACACCGCTCTTTTGAAAGAGAAATGACAGACACAAAGAGACTGTAAAGAAAAGGGGGCAAATATCTGATATCATTTCCCCAAGGGCAGAGGCAGAACCCAGATTATATACCCAGAGGTCCAATAAGATCCGGGCCTCCACAGTACTTAGTTTACCAAACCTAGGCTCCCCTGGTCTAGCCAGGCTGATGCTGCAGTCCTCTACAGCGCCACAGCCAGTTGGTGCTCTGTCCTTGATGGCCCTCCAGGTCCATCCATTGCTAGCCTCTTCCTCCTTTCACCCCATAGTCTTGCTCCCATCTGTTACTGTCTTGGAAGGTCCTTTTCCTTGGTCTGGTTGTATGAACCAACACTGGGAGTCCCAGAACCAGAGAGTCCTGATCTTCAAGCCCTCCCTTCCAGAGCTGCTTAGCATTCAATGGGCTGGAAAAACATTGGTTCCAAATTTTTTAAAAATCAACAAAAACAAGACCCAGAGAAAAGACCAAGTCTGGGGGAGGAAGAGCTATCCTGCTCTTTAAAGCTCCCAAGTCTGCAGTTGGTAGACGGTGCAGTTCCAAGAAGGCGAGCACCAAGGGGGTGTCCGGCTGTGGCTTCCAGGGCCCCAGGAGTGTCTGGTCGGGTTCAGGGAGCTGGCTCCAGCTGCTATTCCATGGGCCCTTGGTACCAAGGACTCATATGTGTCCCCATTTGAAGGGCCTGTTCAGGTTCACTTCTGGATTTGTGTTTTTGTACATGCGGGTGCATGTCCACATCTGTCTGTGTTTGTGCAGATGGGTCTGCTGTAGGGTGTGGGTGCGTGCGTGTTCATATATGTGTATGTGTGTGCATGTGTGTTTGTGGGTCTGGGAGGGAGGGAGCTGGGAGATGGGTTGTGCTCCGCGCTAGAGCTATACACGGGTAGTGGAGTGTGAGTGGGGCAGCCCAGTACTGTTGAACCCCGCGGCAAAGGTGTTATAGGGGTGCAAGGTCTGCAGCCCAACCAGGGAGTTGGGAATCATAGTGATGGTGTTGGGGGTCATGAGTGGGATATCATCAGGGGACCGCCGCAGGGTCAGGGTATAGTCGGGCAATGCTGTGAGGCGCAGTGTGTCGTGGGGTGGGCCAGCCTCACATTCATGGTGAGTGGGCCCCAACTGTAATGCTGCCAGCTCCTCCTCTGGAGCAGTTCCCAATTCAGGGGCACCAGTTCCCCTCTGGGGACTAGGCTGCCTCAGGGGCTCCTGGCGCCGTTTGTCCTTACGGTAATAAAGGGCAGCAAAGGCCAACACATTGAGAAACAGGAGGGAGGCCCCCACGGCAATGGTGACACTTAGTTCAGTGGAGTAGTCTCGAGGGTTCTCGACCAGGAGTGGCCCTGCATCCTGGTCCCCATTCCAGGACCCAGGGGCATTCTCATTGCTGTAGGCAGGTGAGATGGCTGGCCGCTTGGTGCTCCAGGTCTTGCCATTGGGCCTGCGAGTGATGTGGGAGCTGTGGGTGGTGTCCGGGGGCGGCACTTTGGTGGTCGTGGATGTATAGTGGAACATGTCATGCAGGTTGTACAGGTGGGGCACCAGGTGTTTCCAAAAGGCTACCTTGGTAGCTCGGTAATGATCACGAACCCTTGGTTTCAGCCCGATGTGAAGGTAGAGCTGGTCCCGGGGATTGTATTTGGACCAGGCCACTTCCTCAAAGCGGTTGGCCTTGGTGTGAATGAACTTGGTATCCTGGGGTACCGGCTTGTTGGGATCCCTGAAATACCACATTGAAACCTAAGGTCACCATGCTACCTGGAGAAAGGAAAAGGTCCAGCCTCCTTCCTCTCACACCCACCAGTCTAAAATTTCCCACTGCTCCCATGTTTTTCAGGGTCCTGTCGCCGCCCCCACTCCTTTCTTCCCCAAGGCTTGAACTAGTTCCCATGGCAGGCAGCATGAAAACCTCTCATTCTTCCCTGAGCTCATCCGCTGCCATCAGGCTGTGCTAATGCTTTGTCTTCTCACATGCCATTGAGTATCTATCAGTCCTTTCAGCTGCCCAGTTTTATCAAGAGCCCTTGGAAGACTCTTTCCAAGTGTGCGTTCTTCCCCTTTCATATTGCCTTTGGCCAGCTAACCTTGACTCCCACGATTCTACCCATAACGCTTTCCTGTTCAGTTCGGACACCTCAACACAATTATTGTTTGGTGGTGCTGGGTACCAGGGCCTGGGGCGAGCTAAGCAAGAACTCTACTAAAAAAATAGCACACAATCGTGACAAGAAGGGAAATAAAGGTGTTACCAAGCAAGATCTAGGGACTTGCACGGAAAGGGAGGTAATGGAAGAGGTTAGGTAGAAGAGCAAAGGGGAGGGCATGCTGGGGTCCCAAAGAAGACACCCCATTTTCTACTTACCCAGTCTTGGCAAAGTTGGTCCAATAGGTCATAACAACAGCGCTGAGCATAACGTCATTCTTGGAGAAGTTGCAGGGGAAAAGGTCAGTGGGACCTACCATAGGGACACCAAAAACATAGGGCACTTCATCCCCATGAGCTGCATCTGACCACGCGGGCTTCATGAGGCTCTGGCAGTGATGGTAGAAGGCGTAAAAGTAGGTAGGTGAGCCATATCGGGCATGTAGGTCAGCCGTCACCACTGAAGGTTCCACCCACTGGTGGTCAGTGAAGAGCGCCACCAGGGTTTTACGGCGGGTCTCAGGGTTGTCACGATCTGCCCAGTCTGTGTACATAAACTTGATGGTCTCCCGTAAGGTGTCCTTACCCTCAGGGTAGCCATACAGATTGTCCACAAAATTGGAGACAGAGTAGTCAAAGTCAGTGCCAGAGACACCATCCTCAGGGTCTACCACCCCTTCTACAAACTTGAGACCCTCACCCTGGTTGACACCTAGCATGATATCATAGTTGAGGAACTCTCCCTGTTCCATAAGGATCTCAGGGTCATCAGGAATGACATCACCATCAATCACAGGGCCAAAAGCCACATGGTAGCGGGCTGGCTGAATGTCCTGTTCTACCAGCTCCTTGGCGCTCTTTTGTCGAAGACAATCCACCATATCCACGGTGTCCAGCACATTACAGCCCACTTTGTCTGCCAGCAAGCTGGTGTACTTCACCGGTTGGTAGTTCACAGCCCAGCTAGATAGAGCAGAGCCACTTTGGATGATGGCCCTCTGGAAAAGCCCTATAGAATATAGGTGGCACTGGGTCAGAGCTGTCATGTCACATATGACCATAAAACACCTTTTATACTTTGTCACTGAGGTCACCCTGTGCTGTGGATTGGCTAGAAAGGAGGAGATGGCAGGGCAGAACCAGAGTGGGGCTGCCGAGCTCCTTCTTTGATTCCCTTCCTGTGGATCCCTCCCCCCACCACCCTGCCACCCACACACACAGTTTCCCAGTTCTGGTACAGGGGTTGGTAACTTGGGGGTTAAAGGAAATGCCAGGGAGAATTAACCCCTTGGGGCCCAGAAATGGGCCTCCTTATGCTCTTTCCTCTCTTTATCACTCGTTGTCTCTCTCTCTTGCTTCCTGCCCAGCTGGGCCCAGTTCTGTGCCAACGCACCACCAGAGAGCTGGCGCTTACACCACAAAGGGGTCTTTTTCATGAGAGATGAGAAATGCAGGCAGGAGAGAGCCCCACATTCTGGGAGTTGAGGGATGAATCCCAAGAGCAAAGGCCCTGGGGTCTGAGAAGCTCCTGGCACGTGCCCTGGCAGTGTGGGTTCTGCACAGATCCTCTTTTACTGAAGCTATGGGCATATCACATCCAGATTCCCCATAGCTAGAGGGACCCCATCCCCCAAATTCAAAAATAAAATTCCTCCAGCTCTCAGAAGAAAGAACTATCTTTCTCTGGCCGCAATACTCCCAAGGGATAATTTGGCTCTCATGTACTCAGGGCCAAAGGAAAAGATGCTTTTGCATGAGCAGAGAGAAGGAGAGAAGTATGGATTAGAGAGGGAGGGAGGGAGGGAGGGAGAGAGAGAGAGAGAGAGAGAGAGAGAGAGAGAAGGTTGAAGGTTGGAGGGAGAGGGAGAGGGAGAGAACCATTTTCTCAGATCTCCTCCATGATACATTTATTAGTGCTGGGGATGAAACCCAGAGCATCCCACGGGGTAGGCAAGTGCTTTGTCACTGAGCCACGCCTCTACCCGGAGAGAACAAATCTTTAAAGAATCCAGGTCTCTAGAGCCACAGTCCCCCTTAAGATACACAACACAGTGTTGTTCCAGGAAGGAGTCCCAGTCAGAAGAGGTGCCAGGCCTCTCTTCAGACACGGGCACCCTTACAGCCAGTCATCTCACCCTCCTCTAGAGGAAAAAAAGAGGACTCTGTTCTCTCTACTGTCACCTAGAAACAGATATTCTTTCTGGTGGTGCTGGGGATGTAACTCAGGTCTTCTTCCATTCATTCATTCGTTCGTTCGTTCATTCATTCATATTCTCTCTCTCTCTCTCTCTCTCTCTCTCTCTGTGTGTGTGTGTGTGTGTGTGCGCGCGCGCGCATGTGCATGCACGTGTGTGTGTGTGTGCCTTCTTTTTCTGAGACAAAGTCCTACAGGTAACCCTGGCTGGCCTCAAACTTGTGGCAGTCCTCCTGCCTCAGTCTCCTAGGCACTGAGATGGCAGGTATGCACCACCATGTCTGACTTCTCATTCCCTCTCTTTGCAGATGCAAGTGACACTTTAGTTTTCCATCAGTGTCATCTCTAGAGGGGACACAGGGACGGAGCTTCTGGTGCGGTAACAATGCTCCCTCGCATTCAGAGACAAGCCTTCTTCAAAAGATGGCCAGGCTTCTTGAAAGAGTGCTCCCTCACGGGGTCAATCTCAACTATAAAAATGTGTCCTCGCTCATGTTTTCCCTCACTTTAGAGAAGGGCACTTGTTTCAAGGACAATTTTTCTCCGTAAGAAGCTCAGCTTTGCCTCTCGAGATACATTGTTCTCTATAGTCTAGATGGAAAGAGAACATTCCCCTGCCTAGCAAAATAGGGCTTATGCAAGTCCTTTGGAAACTCACTGGCAGAGGGACCCACATCAGAAACAGGGTAAAAATGAGTGTTCTTTTAGTGAGGTGTAGAGCCCTGGAGGGAGTCTCTGGTCTAACAACAGTCTGCCTCCCTCAGAGCAGCCTATGTCCCAGGTCAGAGTCTCACTTCAGACCCATCTCTCATGCTAGACCATTTCTCCTCTTGTTCAGACATTTTTCCCAAGAAAGGTAGACAATGAGTGTTTCTTACACCTAGAAACCAATTTTCACCTTAGATTTTGACTCTGAAATAACATGCCCTTCATACAGAAAGATTTCCTCGCCTGTAAGGAACTATTGTTCCTTCAGAGAGGCGTTCTGTTCCCACTCTTCCAAATAAGCCTCCCATGTGAGCCGAGTATCGTTCTCAGGGTGCGAATGGGGATTATTCTTTCACACGAGGAGAAGTAGCTCTTCCCGCACGAACAATTTCCTTTCCACCCCCTCTCCCTCAAGGGACACGGAACTGGTGGCAGAGGCCTGGTTGATTCTCCTGGGCACAGCTGGCATATGAAGCCAGGCATTGTGGGGCCTGGGATACCTGGAGCTCAAGGTGTTCCAGCATCAAACTCTTCTACATTGGTCCTCAAGAGCTACTCACCCTCAGAATGATGAGACAGTGTGAGGAGGCTGACACAGGATGCACCAATGCCCGAGCCAAAGACCGTGATTCGACGGGGATCTCCTCCAAAGAAGGCAATGTTCTCACTCACCCAGCGGAGGGCCTGGATTTGGTCAAGGAGCCCATAGTTGCCCTTGGCAGCCTGATCCCCGGTGCTCAGGAAACCTAGATTCAACAGAAGGCATGAGGAGAATGAGGGTGAAGGGATGCAGGACTTGGGTTATGATAGCACGGAATGGATTTGGTTAAGTGTCACATGGAGGAGAAGCATGCAGTCATGTAGCACTTCCCACCTCATTAATGCTAACATAAACCGCTGCTTCTTTTTGCAAGGTCCAGCATCACCAATATAGACAGGGTAAAGCCCCTGCTTCCCCTCCATGATCCAGTTTGGACAGAGGGGCCAGAGCATTTGAAGTGGTTGTAGGAAACAACTGAAGGGCCTGCAAGTGGCCAGAACTCAGCATTTTCTGTCCTGATGTAGTATCTGGGGGTGTGATCCTAACATCAGGCAAGATACGGTGGAGAAAGCAAGGACCCTGGAGCCAAACAGCCCTTGGTTAAATTCAGCATCTTAGACATGTGGCCTTCGGCAAGTTATTTAAAATCTCTGGGCTGTAGTTTCCTCTTCTGTAAAATGGGGATAAAAATACCTCAAAGGGTTGTAACGAGGATAAAATGAGCAGAAGGCAAGCACATGGTCGAGCTACAGTTCCATTTTCCCCTTCTTTCTCTCTCTGAAGTGAAGAGCCCACAGGCAGCAATCCCTAAACTCGCCTTGCCCGCCCTGTGCAAATCTGTCCAGCTCCAATTCTTCCCAAGGCTTTGGTATGGCCCCCTTCCCATCACTCTCAGGGCAGGTCCTCATTTCCCTTCCTCCAACACCTAAGCAATCAAAAACTCTAGGGGCTGCAGCCCAGCGGTCTGTGTTAACAAGCTCTCCGGGTGCTGCTGACGCCTGCTAAAGTTGAGAAGCCACTAGGTCAGATCATCTTTTTCATCTGGTGGAGAGACGAGGAAGTCAGCGCACCGCGTTACCACAGAAACAGGTCTTCCCGCCCACCCACTGGGATTTGCTGCTGAGGAGACTACATGTCACCATGGAGACTACCTTCCCACCCACCTGCTGGGATTTGCTGCTGTGGAGACTTGTTACCATGGAGACTACCTTCCCGCCCACCTGCTGGCTATCCCACAGAGATGTCCTATATCACCCCCTCCCATTTTAGGCTGATCCTACTGCCTCGGTTCCTCTATCTCCTCCTTGATCCCTGGGTTCCTTGGAAGGCTCCGTCTATTTTCTCCTGCCCTAGGTTTCTGGAAGGGTCCTTTCCAGGTGGGTGTAATTGCTGTGCTCCTACACATTGGAAATCCAAACTTGGATCAGTATTCTTTGACTCCACAGTTAAAAGCCTGTTCGCAGCACCTGGAATCAGCTTGGTTCAGGGCCATGTTAGAGGAGCCCACGGCTCGCAGAGAGCTGGCTGGCTTTTCTGGCAGTCTTCAGGCAAAAGCTTAATTCAGATAGATCAGAGCCAAGCAGGCAGAAACCACATCACTATCTTTCCCAGGTCTTTCTGTGCCTAGTTTCTACAAAAAAAATTCATCTTGCCATCTTTGAGGGTGTTATTAATTTCCTTTGGTAAAAATTAAGTATGTAAGTAGTTATTTATTCCCCCCAGAACCTTGGCACATGTCCTTCATAACCCCAGGTTCCAGATAAGAAAAGGAGAGGAGATTAGAGTAAGCTGGAGCAACAGTAAGTGGGAGAACTCTAGTTCCTTCAGACGGGGCGGGCGGGGGGCAGTGTCTCTGTTGTGGGAGGTGGCATTCAGAAATGCAAGTGACTCCTGGGAATCTTAAAATCTATACTGGGCTGGGGGTGGTGGCAAAAAAAAAAAACCCACAACAAAACCAACCAACTAAGCAAACAAACAACAACAAAAAACCCTATGCCAGCCAACACCCATCTCAGTTACCCAAGCCTAGAGGTGTCCTAGCAAAATTTATCATGTGTCTGCCTTCTCTCCTCTCCCTCCCCTGTGTTCATTTTTCCCTTTCTTTCACTTAGACAATAGCCGATTGGCTTCAGTCTTGTCAAGGCATGTTCAGTGAGATACGTTAAACTTGTCTGTCCTTGCTGTACATGGTTGGTGCACACTTCCATGGCACTCAGAAGGCAGAGGCTGGAGAATTTTGAGTTCGAGGCCACATGGAGTGAGTTTAAAGCCACCTGGACTACATACAGGGCAAGGTCCTAGGGAGAAAGCAGGGAGTTGGGTGGGAGAGGGAGGGAGGGAGACAGAGATTCACACAGACAGGGATCTGCCTGAAAAGCCTGAGGAGAGGGTTTGGCCATACTTCTGCTCCCTCAAACCTCATGAGCTTCCAGATAAAGGAATAGTGAAGTATGTGGCTGGGGCCGTGCCATTGATCCTCACTGCACAGAGTTCTTCAAGTACCCTAGCCAACAGGCTCAGAAGGTGATGGGTTAAGAATGACTGACCAGGAGTGCACAAAGCCTTGCAGTCTAGGAAAGAAGCCACTCATCGATTGCTTCCTAGAATTGTGGCCATTCACAGAAACTGTGTGAGAATAAAGACTCCAATACCCGACTCTACAAGTTGTCAAAATAAATCTGAGTCAGCCTCCTTGAACCCAAGTTTATACTGCAGTATACATAAGCTGCTTGTCAACAGAAGATGGAGGAATCTGGCAGATTGTATCAAAACTAGGTATTTGTGTCACTCCAGGATTGTCACTCACCATGCATTCAGTTTGCCTGGAAGATACCTGAGCAATGATGTGGAATTAAGTTAATTTTGGAACCCCGAATAAAACTTGGCAAGCCCGTATGTTCTCAGTATATCCACTACTTCTAGATATACCCACATCCTATATCCTGGAGGATTCCTTTGGTTTTGTTGGCCCCAAGCCCAGTGGGAGTGTCTCAAATAACAGCTACCCCTCTGGCTCGGCAGGTCAGGGGTTAGGGTAGATCTCTCGGAATTAACTTGCTGACATTCTCAAGATTCTTAGAGAAACTTCTTCCACAGGCTGGCTGTACTCAGTGCTCAGGAGATGCTGGTGGGAGGGCGGGCAAGTGAATGCATGTAACTGGAGTCCAAAACTGGCCACCTGCTTTTTTTTTAAATATACTTTGGAAAACAAAACAACAGGGCCTCAGCTACACAGCAAGCTCCCCAAGCGTCAGGAACAAACTCATGTTCTACAGCGAGTGCCAAGAGACAAAAACATCTTGTATGTACCCAGAAGGCAATCAGTGGCTTATTGATTATATTTGTGTTCCAGAACAGGCACCGAAGAGGATGTAGGGAGTGGTTGGGAACTCCTGACCAGATCTCAGCTCATAACTCTTTTGAAGTGTGGAGTAATGTTATTTGTAACATTAATTGCTTAGCTCAAGGATGCACTTCTCTGATTACCCAGATGAGAGGAGGTGGTAAAGTCAGTGTTCTTAGCCTGAGTGCCATGGCTGAGCTTCAGAGGGCACTGCGAAGTCCTCTTTTTAACTACTAGTGTGCTGCGTGTGGTGATGTATGCCTCTATTCCCAGTAGTTAGATGCATGGACAGGAGGGTCTCAAGTTTAAGGTTGCCTGGGCTACACGGTGAGATTTAGTCTTTTGGTTGTTTGGTTGTTTGGTTGGTTGGGTGTTTTGCTTTAAGATTTTTTGAGACAGGGTTTCTCTCTGTGTACCAGCCCTGGCTGTCCTGAAACTCGCTATGTAGACCAGGCTGGCCTTCAACTCACAGAGATTTGCCTGCCTCTTAAAGTGTGTGCCATCACTGCCTGGCAAGACTCAGTCTTTAAAAACAAAAATTACGTGTGTGTATCTGTATTGTTTTGATGAAGGATCCATAGCTGTTATCATAATCTCAGAAGAGTGTAAGAGGTTCTCTCATAGAGAAGCTGAAAAGACGAGAGGGACATTCAGACCAGGACAGCACACAGAGGGCTCCCAACCAGCCACCTTTAATGCAGCCCACAGCTCCTGGCTGATCCTGTGGAGACCTTGAATCCTACTGAAATCTGGTGTTTTCTCTCTGCCTCACATCCCAGTGGCACTCTCAACCTCTTTTCTCTCATTGGTCATTTTATTCTTTTCCTTACTTTCACCTCACTTTCTTTCCCCTCCAGTCATTTCTTTTCTTCCATTCCTTGCCACTCTGATAACAAAGCATCAGCTCATATGCTTAGGATTCTCTGCCCATCCCAGGACACCTTGTAAAATGGACTCTTGTATTTAGAATTCTTGAAAGCCACTGAGTCGAGTATTTCTTTTAGTTAGTGGAAAGAAATTAGCAAATTGCTTTAGGCCACCAGTTACTGTGTGTGGATGTATGTTGTCTGTCTGTCTGCGGTTCCATTTGTGCCTTTGTTGCTCTTTCAGAACTGTGTGGCCCTCGTGTGTAAATTTACAGTCACCTCTGTGGTACAATGACACTTAGATCCCCTTTCTCAACGGGATTCAGGAGCCTTGCCATGGTGTCAGAGGCAGTACAGGAAGACAGGGGGACATGGAAGAAGCACAAAATCTAAAGCCCATCAGATCATGAAGAGACATGTTCCATAACTAGGATCCCAGGGAGCCACTGAAGAAGACACGGTCTAAAGCATTTTTCAGGCATATCATTTCCCCAGAGGTTTGGTATTTTTTTTCTTTGGTTCTTGTTTTGTTTTGTTTTTGAGACAGAGTCTCACTGTGTAGGCCTGGGTATTCTAGAACTCGATATGTAGAACAGGATGACTTTGAACTCACAGAGACCCACCTACTTGTGCCTTCTAAGTGCTGGAATTAAAGGCATGCACCACCACACCTAGCCTCATTTCTCCAGATTGACACCAAATAGGTGTATATCCCACACAGAATTGTGGGTAAGTCAAGAGGAGACTGCCAGACTGTGCATATAACCCCGCCCAGAAGCAAAATGCAGGGCCACAGGGGGGGGGGGGCGCTGGGACTGGAACTGGCAAAGCAACGTAGTCAAATTCAAACAAGCTCCTGCTCAGCAAGCACACAAACTGCTGATTCAACATCTGGGCCCACAGACCCCCACAGAAACCCGGAGGACACAATCCCCCAGGGAAGAAGATGGCTTTCTCATGCCACCACCAGAATATGGAAGCTGGGTGACCATCTAAAAGGCAGCAAGGGCCTATATGCTCTGTAACCTTCTCTGAGTATTTGTTTACCTCAAGACCTTGGCTATCGATGGGTCCTGGCAGTCATCAAAGAAGGCATAAATAAGATAGAGGGACAGCCTAAAGCAGCCAAACAGCCAGCCTATATGGTAGGTAGGATACATGGTGGTACATGGGAGGGGCTTTGGCAAATACATGTGTGTGAGTATGGATAGGTACACATAATGGGTAAGAGTGAAGGGATGAATGTGTACACATATGTACATGAGGGAGTCTGAATGTGGCTAGGATAGATAGAGGTGTGTGTGCATGCGTGTGTGTGCACAGATGCAGTTCTAGCTACAAGGATGTATGAGTATTTGAGAGGTAAGGGAGTGAGCACATGTGTACGTATTGGGTATATATTGGCAGAGAGTATGTGGGAAGACTGTGGACATGTGTATCCAACTAGGTATGTGGAGGGAGGGGTCTATTTGGTGTGCATGTCTGAGGGGTTATATGTCCAGTGAATTGGAATGGTTACCGGTATGGAAGCAGAGGGTGTGTGTATGTGCGCGCATGTGCGCATGTAGCTGTAAATTTGTGGGGTGGGTGCTGTGGACACGTAGGAAGCTAAATGCATGCAAAGAGAAAGAAAGAATGTTGGTTTGTGCTGTGTAGAGGAGAGAGAGAGAGAGAGAGAGAGAGAGAGAGAGAGAGAGAGAGAGAGAG